AGCTTCAGGGGGCCTTTTGGTTTTACAGCCTGCGATGACCGACACTTGGCAGGATAGTCCAAAACCATAAAGCAAGTGCCATTGGTTACGACGGTTCCTTCCAGCCTGCGTGGGTCAGTCTGGGAAATTATCTGGAGCTGTGGGGCGGCGCTTCCAAGAAACGAGGCACGGCTAGATTTCCTCCTCACTTCCGCTAGAGGCTCTTCAGTCAACACCCCCGCTCGTAAGTTGCAGAGTTCTGCCGCTGGATGAACCTTGTCCTAGGGTTGAAGCACCCCGACCACTTCTGGGAGGGCACCACGCGCACCACCAAGCCCTCGTCTTGCAGTGCCTGCCAGGGCTCATCTGTGCGGCCTAGAATCAGACCTTTGCCACTGCTACCCCGTGAAGTCTGATGAACGTGACAAACGAAATCCATCGTGGGAGACAGCTCCCTGCGAGAGCTTTCTCCAGCATTCATTAAACTCGCCTTCCGAGCAACAGCTTGAAAGCTTAAACCAACACTGCTGAAGTGCAGCAGTGCCTTGGCTTTCCGCACAGCTTCGTTGTAGTTCTCGTCTGCCGTCACGACCTTGACAGCCGAAAGCCACTGCAAAGCCTTCCGATGTTTGTCAGAACGGGACAAGCCTTACTTCTAGAGATGCATCCTTCTGTGACAGCTGCTCCCGAAGTGACTTCCTACTCGTACAGTGCACGAGTCGGCTGTGACCGCCAAACCCCAAACCCTTATCCTCTGTAGCCTAAGCCTCAAACCCTGAATGAAGGTTCAGCGTATAGGGTTACTAAACCCCAAACCCTAAACCCCTATACCCTAAACCCTCAAAACACAACCCCCTGCCCAGCTTCTTTCGTAAACTGCATGGCATCGAGTCGGCGAGTCGGCGGCCAAGCGCCCGGCCGCTGGACACTGGTTTTGGGCTCGAAAAAAGGCTCATACGGTTGATAATTTAAATCCTGCATTCCCTTAGGGACCCTAAACTACGGGAATTATTACCCAGGATAAGGAATATACAATAATTCCGGGAATTACTGTATATTCCTGATTCTGGGTAATGCAGGATTTCTATCATCAACCGTAGTGCCTTGATCCAAGGTGTGGGTGTAAGATTGCAGGAATTCAATATTTGGGGACCTGTACGGGGTGGCTGTAAGATTAAGGGAATTTAGTTAAGACTCGGACTGGTCCTAAAGGGCTCCGGGTGTCTTAGGGCCTGAGGCTCAGGGCTTAAGACGGGATCAGTTTTTTGCCATTTGAGTGCAGGCTTAAGGGTTGACAAGGTTTAAGCGAATCTAGTGAACATGCCGAGAAGGCGGCAGATGCAACCGAATGTTCTACAACAGGTCCGATCTACGAGTATGGAACAGCCCAATCAAGACCAGTATCCTGCCGTATCTGGGAGAGCATTGACGCAAGGACTTGTGCTTGAGTCGGATCTATAGCATGTGGCATTTGACCGATCTGCACGGAGACAGCACCCTCTAGTTGTCACGCCCAGCCATGCACGATACAGACTGCAGTATCCGGATCTCTCATGTATCGCGCACGCAGCAGAAGCAACTTTCAGTTATCGGGGTGACATGTTAACATCTTGATGTGTTCTATTGCACTTTCGGAGCGGGGAAAGTGGGCCGGGCTGCTGGCTTTATCCGTTCATGAGCCACCCAAGACCTGGTGAATGAACTCAGCAATGAGTAACTGCCACAGATTGAAAGGTGGATCAACCGTTCGCCTCTCCCTTTCCTGCTCACCTCTCCCTCTCTTTTTTTTGGCAAGAGGGGCCGGGATGGGGGAGGGGGAAAGGGTTATCGAGACAAGAGCTGGTGATGGCGATGAAGCTGAACTCTAAGTAAGTGACTCTTATGACTTCAATGATGAAAGAGTGGTGGCGCCGTTGACCCTGATTTTAGTGATGTCGACCGGACCGATGGCGAGAAAAAAGAGGATGGCGCCACCAACATTGTTGGTTTTGTCATCATTGGGCTCCCTGAGCAGCGTTTCAAGAGTGAGACATTCTTGTGATATTCGAGGTCGGCCCTACCTAGTCCAAACAGATTAGGGCATCAGCTTTCGGTTGTCATGCTATCTGTTATCGGCACGTGGGCTCCGTGCAGAAAGCTAGAGTCCTCAATGACCAGTGGAGCATACCAGACTCAAGTGGGGCCAGCGAAGTTCGGCCGCGCAGATGGTGACTGATACCTCAATCCCCCAAACAGTCACAGGCCAAACAAAGTACCCAAGCTGATGCACTAAGTCACTGAGTCTTGCTAAGCACAGCCAAAGCCAAATTAACCCTACAGTCTCATGACCCAGCTGCTGTGATCCTCCAGGCCCGATCACACAAGAGAGGTTGTAAGCCCGCAAACGCCTCATGTCCACCCATGCCACACTTCTTATCACTTCCTCCATGCTACTCGAGATAGCTCTTCTCAGCAGGCCTAAGGAGCAGCCTTTGAAAGGAGCACCGGGAGGGACTATGGCTAGAGAAGCGCTCTGCCCTCCCAACCCGGCAACCATCAGCCCTCAAAACGTCGAGGCCTAAAACCCCTGCAACCTAGATTATTACAGGGTTTAGGGTGTAGGGGTTTAGGGTGTAAGGGGAGGGGGGCATATGATCAGTCACTCGGACCCCTGTCAGCAGGCAGCCCCAAATCAATCCTCAACCCTAAACCTAATACGAGGTCCGAACCTCTAACATGTGGAACACCCTCAACATGCGAAAGCCCACAACGCAAAACGAGGAGAACAAACACCAACACATCATCTAAGCCCTAACCCGCAATTACGTTTTTCAGTTTTCATCACTACCACGAGCCGCCGCTTGCAGCCGGGATTCGTCAACTCGAAAGACCTGCGGCTCAGATCAAGGTAACTTTGACCAATAGCTACGAGTGATTAAACCAAAACACTGTATGGGCTGAATAGGGTGTATACAGTCTAGGCACGTACACAAATTCGATATGATATATATATATATATACATGTATATGTATATATATATATATATATCTGTGTGTGTGTACATACATACATACATACATACATACATACATACATACATACATACATACATACATACATATATATATATATATACGTAGATATGTATGCATGTATGCAGGTATGTATGTAGATAGAAAGAGAGAGAAAGTGTGTGTGTGTGTGTGTACATGCCGACTGTATCTTGTTCCATGGCTCACGGTCATCGTCATTTCCTGCCAAGCTGAAGTCCATGCGCTCTGTAACTGGACTGCAGAAAGCTATCTCTGAATGCACATGGTGCAGTTGCAGCGCTTGCACATTGCGTAAGCACAACAACATCTATATCACGCAGTGTATCGAACTTTCTGGGTGCGGGATGGTGCGGCTGTTTGTATGCATGAAAATATGCAGAATATGTATGAGGTATGTGTATATATACATATATACATGTACATATCATTATATCTATATCAGTATCTCATCATCTTCGATACCCATACACACGCCAGTTTGCTGCCCTTGGTACGGATGCACCTGAATAGGTCTGGGCTTCACAAAGAAGAGGGGGCCTCTGGGCGCGTGTTGCACCAATTGCTGTCTGAGCTGCGGCTTCTGCGCACGCGCCAGGCGTGGCGAGGGGGGAGAAGGGGAGCGCACCAATCTGCCAGAAGAGCCGACCTTCTCATCTTTGCAGATACGGCGCTTGCGTAAGACAGGAATTGAAATCATGACAACGATTTCCTGGTCAAGAGTCTAGAGATGTCTTGCTTGTGAGGTTAAACGACACATGTGCGTGCATGAATTCTCTAAGTCTCGTTGTGACCACGGCTCTCTGTCCTTCTTCTGAAGTATGATGTCAAGCCCGCGCGCTTAAATGCGAGAGAGTGCAGTGTGCCCTCCTCTCTTCGTCTCCGGAATCACTTCCCTCCCTGCTGCACTCATAGAACTCGGCTGAGCTCTGGATCGCTATAACCATCTGAAGCACTAAGACCTACAAACCTTCCAATCACGAAACCCCGACGCCAAGTCGCCTTGGTGGCCCGTGCACCGGGTATTGGAGGACTTGGGCTGCGCCGCATGTGGGGCCTGGGATTGCGGAGATCAACATATTGTGATATTTCGTGAATGGTTTGAGCCAGCCATCCTAGAGGAGCTGCAGAACCCAAAGTGTCGGTTTCAAGGTTCAGCAACTGCTGTCTGCTATCTTCAGCCTTGCAGGTGTCTGGGAGTCTTGCTGGTGCTTGTGGCCTTGTAAGCAATCACGGTCGCCTGCAGAAGCAACATAGGGCCTGCTAAGGGGGCAGCAGCAGCTGCCGTAGGCGACGACAACGACAGTATCGACCAGCTACTGTATACCACATACTACGTACTACTTAGCACTGGACTTGTGCTACTTACTAGAACTAGTAAGTACAAGTAATTAGTAATTGCTACTAGTTGCTGCCTACTTTTTGGCCTCTGGCAACTGACCGCTCACCACCAACTACGACTACGACGACTGCTACGGTTACTACGACTACCGCGACCACGACGACTACTGCTGGTAGTAACGCTACGACTCCGGGCCCCCCCCCCCTGTCAACAGCTTGCCTACCCACTGACTTGCGTTCGTTGCCTTCCCAGTCGATGCAGGTCCCAGGGCACAATGAATTGTAGCCCAAAAGGCGCTGCCAAAGGCGAACCAACGCGGCTCGGTGCCGTGGCGGCTGCAGGGGATAAACACCTCAGGCATCAAGCATCATCAAGCATCAATGGCAACCAGACCCAATACGACACGAGCAATGGCGCTGCTGCCAGGGCGGGATGGTGGTGACACTTGCACCACGACCATGACTGTGCTGGGCTTCATTTTGTAGGGTTCCGCTCTGCAGGGAACCTGATGCAATCTTGTGAGGAAGCCTGCAGGTTCAGCACCACGCGCAACTTTGCCGGCATTTCCAAGACGCATCGGAACAGCAGGGCCCATTAAGGGTGTCAGTCCATGGATAGTTGAGGAGTCCCCATTCGGAATGACTCGGAGCTACATCCTCAGAAAGCTTAGGTGATAGAGAGAGGGTCTGTCAGGAAGTTGAGCTTCGGGCCCCAGGGCATGCTGATTAGTGCTGATGCCAATGGCCCGTGGAATAGCAAAGTCTTCGGCCATGGCAATATCAAGGCTCTGAGGTTGAGACTTGGAAAACTGCCGTAGGCTGACTCGACCTTTCGTGCCGCCATCCAAGTCAGAAAAGAGCCTCCGTGCAAGTGACAACTGCGCTTACCACGATGACGGTCGAGGCACCCATGTCTGCTAATTTGAAGATAATACGAAGTGAAACACAAACTCTTGAAGGCAGGACTGCCGACCAAGCCATCAACATTACACATCGTCGGCCTTTCTTGAGCTGCCAGCGGGATGCATTGACATGACCCAGCCTCCTGATTCGGTGCTCGGAGAGATCTGACATTCCAGCATCGGCAAGGCCTGGGAACGACTGAGTTGCACCTATACTTGCAGGCTAGAGATCTTTGATGACCTCTACGAAGACTTCTCGTCATCTGTGAGCAAGGCGGAAGAAGCTTTTCAGACTCAGGACATGCTGGGCAACCACGGCAAACGCGCCGCTCTTCCGTATCTGAGCCGTGGGGAAACCGAAATCCCTAAATCTGCGACAATGGGACCCAACGCGTCCAAAGAGTTGCTGCGTGACACCGGGAGACCGTGAATGAGATCGTCAAACGTCATAAAGCCATCACCTCAGGCAACAAAGTTCGCAAACCCCTTTCGTTGCAGTCCACACGTGACCTTTCTTAAAATTCTGCAGATTCAAGCGGTGCCTTTTCCTGTCGATGAATGAACTCCAACGGTCGTGGACCGGTTTTAGAGAAACTAATTTGCTTTTGAGTATGGGGTGTCTGTTCAGTTGTGGCGCCGAATACTTTGAGAGGCAAAACAGCAGCTGCATTCTTGTCAACTGCTTCGGAAATTGCAGGCCAAGCGCAATTCGAGTCGAAATTGCGGAAGATGTTGGCCAGGGAACCTGAAAGCAAAGGAGAGACTGGTAGCCCTGATGTGGCTGCTGGCCCCACGCAGGGCATCAGGGTGCAGTTCATCTCTCCGCTACGCAAGGCTTAAGTTGAAAGGTCAAGTTGAATGACTTGACGGTTCGGCAGGTAGCAGAAGCGGATAAATGCTCTTTTCAAGGACCCATACCTGGCTGCATGCGTCCCCTAGCAGTGAATTCTCGTCTGGCTGTGTCTCCGAAAGCCTCATCTGCGCCGAGCAAGGCGCAGAAGCCTTTCGCCAAACTCCTCACGGGAGGCTCCAATGTGCCGCTGCGCAAGAGACCTGCCTTGGTGAGACTTTGAAGAGCCGCCGAAAGATCTTCACGTCGCACCTGGCAGCGGCATGCCCAGGAAACGGAGCTGAGCCAAACGATGACAGACACGCCTACGAGCCGGTAGGTGCTTGCTAGCAGTTTCTCTGCATCCTCAACGGACTCGGCTTGCAGGAAATCTTCGGCCGCCTGCTTAGCCCAATCGATAAATCTCTGGACGCTCTGGGCTTTGGCGTAAGTTGCCTCCTTCGTCGCGGCGAAAAGTGACGAGGACCAGGGCAAGTCTGCTTGCCACACCTCTACCCACTCGCCAGATGCGACGCAATCATAAGCCAAATACTTCTCCCACAAGACCATCTCCACCCGCCCGGAAGCAATAGCGGTTTTCGCCGCCTCCAAGCTCGAGAGGGGTCGCAGGTACAGGCCACCCAGTGCTTGCCAGTCGCGGTGCTGGCCTAGCATGTGCACAGCCAGCTGCGCACCAAGGCAGTTGTGAAGCACGCCGCAGGGAGATCTAAGCACCTCACTTGGTGCCTCCTGGGCTTTGAGGCTGGAGACATACAGCCCAAAGCGTCGAGGTGACGAAGTATACGTGCCACAAATCCGCAGTGAACTGCCAAGGGACACCGCTTGAACGACGTCTTCTGTCTGCAAGATGGCAAGATCCAGAAGCCCCGCACCCAACATTGCAAGCACAGCATCTGCATCGGGTGGACACTTGACCCAATGCAGGTGAAAGGCGAGCTCATCCACATTCAGCTGATTTGCCAGCGCGAACTGGATGGGAGCAGCCGCGATGCCGATGGCACATCCAACACGGAGACGAGGCTTCACATGGGGACCGGCTTTGTCGCATTCGCAGCCAGGGCTTGCCGTGGGTGCTTCGCACGACGCCGAAGTGGTTCCCATCCCAGGAGCTCTACCGAAACACTGTATCTTATTCTTTGCGAGTCTGAAATCAATGATGTGGCTTTCGGAGTCAATGTCTGCAGGCCTTACATACCACAAGCCCTTCCCTGAGACTCTAGGAACACGACACCAGGCGCTCAGTCAAGTAGTCGCGCTGTAGTATAGTCATGAGAACTGATGATTTCCCGCCGCCTGTGCCAGAATGATCTTCGCACACACTTCATGCAAGCACGAGTTGAGTCCGTCAACTTGCACCTCCGCGTCTAAGAAGCCGCCGGTCCAGCCCAGCCCCGAACTTCTGCATTAACCCCGCAGTAGGCGCTACTGGTGTTGAACTCGGAAAAATCATAATGTGAGCAAGAGGACTCATTAGGAGGACAGCAGGCAAATATGGAAATCAGTATACTGGAACTTGCCCCTCCGTACCGATACACCCGGGCAGTCATGCCCTTACACGTGCGCGCGTGCGAAGATGCACTCAACCACACGCACCTAAGGGCACGTGAACGCACGCATCTGTCGGTGCATGTTTGTTTTTTCTGCCTCGATGCAGTGTGCAGAGTGCGTGGGTATACTTGTGCTTGTGTCAGCCTAAACGGATGAAGAAACTTCCTTATGCCTCGATGTTAGACATACGCACACACACACACACACATATTTTGGCTCCCACTTGGCACCGTCAGCGCACTGACACTGCATGGCACATACACACACATATGAATATATATATATATATATATATACATAATTAAACTATCTGCACGCACACGCTCCCTCTATTTCTAGTTATATGTGCGTGTATATATATATATATACATATACACCACATACATATGTGTATGTTGTTTATGACTGGTTATTGTTTATGTACACGTAGTGAGAACGAGAGGAAGATCAACACCAACCCAACGAGACATCACACGCAACTTTCAACTGTAGAGACAAACAGAGGAGCGAGACAGGGAAGTACGTTACGCGAAAGCATGCGCTGCTTAGATTGCTTTCCATCAATCCAACATATCCAAGGCCTCCAAACTTTGGGAGGAGGGCATCCACCTCGGTTAAGTTGTGCAGTCTCTGGCGCTTGGGGCAGGCTGGTTTTAAGGACGGATCTTACTTTAAACTGAACCAAACTGTAGATCGACGTGACAGACACTGACTGCATGGATCTTACTCCACACAGCTGAACCTCACAGGAACTTCCTTCACAACACGGCCCATGCACCAATCTCACTGAGCAAATACATTCCCACGTGGTAGGGCTGGCACAATCTCTTCGTTGGTCCATTCCTGCTACGTAAGCCCAGGGCTCGGGCAAAAGCTGGACAAACGTACTTGGCATTGGATTCAACCCCGGCGCACTTCGGCTGCTAATTTGCCGCACTGCAGCAGACAGAATGTGCACGATTGACTGCCAAGCCGGACACAACGAAGATGATTGAAGAACATCTGATTTCATGTGTTTGTGTTACAAAGATTTGTGGGTTTCGGGTGTAATGCGTTTCGGGCGTAACGCTCGCGACTCAGTGTCTAACACAGCAACAAGTCTTCCGCATTGCTCATGCTTTTGCTGCTGGAAATGATATGGGGAAGCAAGACAGGAGTGATGATGATGATGATGATGATGATGATGATGATGATGATGAGAACGCTTATGGTCACTGCTTGTGAGCTTTCTTCTATAGTGGCTGGCCTGGTGGGATCACGACGTGCTTGTACTCAAGGCGATGTCAAGAACGATGATGACCATGGCTATGCCGCTATGCTTTATCAACATCTACTGTACTTCAGCCTGTTGCTGGCTGCTACTGTCTCTGGCGATGCTGCTGCTAAACCTGCTGCTGCTAGCAGCAAAAGTGATGATGCCAGTTACTCTTGACCCATCATCCTCTCTCCTCCTCACAGCCCCTCCCTAGGCCCTAAGCCCTAAACCCCTCCCTTCACCCTCCGCGATCCTCAGACGTGGCGATGGGCTCCGATGCAGCGGACCAGGAAGACCAGCCACCGAAGCCGAAGGCGCGCACCTGTCACTACCATCGATTTGGCATGGCTTAGGGTGTCGACGCTCCTTTGCTGGGTTAAGCTGGCTAAGGTTTCAGGATGTGTCAGTGCTTCAAGGGCCTTCGACGACTTGGGGTATTTTTCCCACTATACTTAGACTGAGGGGATATGGTCTACAGTAGGGTCCTTTTGCCTCCTACTTCGCAAGGACGCGCCCTCATTGCAGGGTGGTTTGGGGTCGGCAAGATTCTCCTTACTTTCGACGAGTCAGGAGAGCATCAGCATTATGCGCTGATGCGCCAAAGCTTACAGGTTACAGTTACTCAGGTAGCGAGTTACCACAGTGTACAAAGAAGTGACTGGCTGGGCCTCAACTCTTCTCCACGCGAAGGTCAAAACGGTGTAGGTTTCTTGTGCCTTGGGGTTTAGGGCTCAGGACCAGTCTGTACGACACAGCCTAGGGCTTGCTCTGTTGTAGGTTGCTCAGTAGTCTGGAAATGTCTGCGAGGAAGGTTCGTTTCTCTGATGGGCACCTGCCATCCACAGTTTGAGCAAGATAAGATGATGCGCTCTTGCAACTCATGAAATCCCAAAAGGTGTCGATGCCTACAACCCGGGTCGGTAGACGAGGCTTCAGCGAGCTTTGTGAAGAGCTTAAGCCGCCTGCTCTGCTTGAAAGCTCCGAAAGTTGAGGCCTGTCGCTTGCACGGCACATGCAGAAACACACTCCTTTACTGCAGGCCTTACAGGTAGACAAGGGGCTGAACTCACCCGGATATCCAGTTCTAAATTAAAGTGAAGAGCAAACTCGTCAGAGGCGCTCGGAAGACGTACTGCGTGTACCGCTCTAGCGCTTTCACCTGCAGGCCGATCCATGCAGGGATCGATTGGAGACCTGCATCTCTGTGATCTGTCAGCTTGCTCCCCGTGTGACTAGCATCAGCAACAGCAGCACCCCCCATCTCCAGTACCACCATCACGACAGCTATCACTACCTGCCACGGCCACCACTGCCAGTGCCGTGACAAGCGCAACCCTCCGACTCACAGTGCCCTGAGTCCTCAACACCAAAGTCTTGTGACTCATGGAACAAGTGGCTGCCAGCGGTGGCGACTTGGCGCGGAGAATGCACTCCTGAGTCCGGGTTTTGAATTCTCTCGTGCAACCACCAGTTTCTGGTCTAGTGTTCCTCAAGCCTTAGCCCTCCAAGCCCTAAACTGCCCCAAACCGTTGCAAGCAAGTTTTGCTCCTGCCTCCGTCCCGGGATGTGGCTCCTTGGCGGCCTTGAAAACAGCGACCTGCGGCCAAGCTCACAGGCAATGGCGGTGTTTACGGGCTTGGATGACTGTTTAGAACAGGATGCAGAGCCTTCTTAGGCTCCTCCGGCCTCGTGCTCAGATAATCTGATACATAAACATCACTCCCTGTCCCTCAGCAGAACAGCAGCACACTCATAAGCCAGTCTTTGCTTCCGTAGTCCTGGAAGCAGCAGCGACAACTGGAGAAAAACGTTGTAAAGCATGGAGACAAAGCTGAGATCGGCAGACCGGCATAGCGGCTACGGTGCTACAGATATACTACTATATGGGTGCTATTGCTACAGAAAGGACTGCTGTGGTGTCCGTCATAAAGCAGTTTTGAAGGATCTAAATTTTTCAAGCTAGCGTTAATAGAAGTTTACATTCTTACACTCTAAATACTTCTTGAATCAGGTGTATGTACGTATACTACATAATATAAGAAGATACATACTACACGAACATCAACATGCACTCGTTTGCTTCCTTGTTTAACTTTATCAATGGCTCAATGGCGATCAACAACAAACTTGAGGCCTAGAGATCAAGTATATTCTCTGAGCAAAGAAGCCGACAGCGTATAGTACCTGCCAAGCACAACCAATGCATGTTGTTGTGCATTTGTTTAGGATCAGTGCTCATCTTGCTAAGAGGCACTGTATCTTGTGCACCTGTCGAGCATCCCCTGGCCTCCCAATAGCGAGGATGCGTAGCCGCTTCGGCCAGCAAAGCTTCGCCCCACGTGACCTGGTAGGTTGATCTCGTAGATAGTGGCGATTTGAGATGGGTTTCGATCTTCTGATCCTCGTCCCTTCGGCCGAAGTACTGCGGTAATGATGACGCCACAAGCCTCTCGCCGTGCATGGTGTACATTGAACCCGGACACACCACCCGTCCCCATCATCATGTACTCGAACAGCAAATCCTCATGTGCTCCGCAACCCCAAAGATCCCCAAAGTCTGCCCTGAAGCCGCCTCCAAAGGAACACCCACTCACTAGCAGTCTCCTCCTCCTGCTTCTTGTTCCTCTCGTGCTGCAAATCTGACTTTTCATGATTCTCTGAACGTAAGGATACTTCTTGAAAATGTTTCTCAATCACCAACACCGTGTCTGCCACCACTGGTTTGCTTCTTCTGCAGTTGTTGGTCTTATTGCTGCCCCCTGTCTAGTGCTACTTCCCATCCTTGAAGGCTTAGTCTCCATGTTCGTCCTAACTAGATCTCCTTGCCCTATGGAGCCTGGATGGTGCGTGCACTCGCGGCTGTTGCCCGTGGCTTCGGTGGCTCCGTTGGGGGCGCTGGTGCAGTTCGGACCGCGGCAGACCTGGGATGCTCTGGTACAGCTTGATGGCGAATATCGCTGAATTATGTGGTGTTGTCTTTCTAGACCAATGCAGTGAAATTTTCCCTGTGGCACATTCGGGGACATGTAGTAGTGTCTGATAGTCAGTAGTGTCATTACCACAAACGCTTCAATCCTTGCGCCAATTCAGGACTGTTACGTTGAGGTTCCTTACGAACCAGACGCTTACAGGTTCGGTTCGACACTCGCACCCGGACACGGCCAGCGATGGCAAAGGCTGTGCGAAACTATGCTGACGGATAGCTTTGCGGCTTGTTCGGTACCCGAGAATGCTTCTGTAACCTACAGGCCTAGCGGCACCAGGCATAGCCATCCCCGTAAAATGCCAAACTGAACGA